GAAAGTGTTGTGAGAATTTGCAAAAGCATTTTATAATTTGTTTGCATTGTATGAAAATGCAGCATGTTTTATTAATTTGTGTTCTGAGAAAGAGCATCACTTTTTTTTATGTGTTTGAGTTGTGAGGATTTGCGACACATTCGCTGTCGAATGAATGAAGATCTTTTCTCAATTTGCTAGCGTTTTGAATTGCGTGTTTCTTCTTACACTGCAGCACATTAAGCTCTCTCGGCCATCGTAGTTTTGTTTTATAAAGGGCAAAATATGTAGCCTAAACCTTATCTAGTTTTAATGAAATCGCGGAAGACTTTATACAGTCCAACATTTCTCTTTCATTTTTTTCACAATAATTAATTTTTTTAAACTTATTGGCCAGAAAATATAATATATCCGTACATTTATATTGTATATTGAACATTTGTAGAGTATAAGTAAAGATTCCTAGAGGAAATCTTTAATATTTAATTTCTTACATGAAAGTGTCACATTAGCTGCAATTTCTTTGTAATTATTTGTGAACTGTATTAGCAATTTTTTTTAGTGTACCTAAAAATATCTCATATATTTAAATATGCACAGAAGCAATCGAAAATGCAAATATCTAATGTTGAAAAAAATAAACAGTGTGATTATACATGAGATTATGTTGGACCATCAAGCAGTGGAAAAATAGTCTTCTTTAAAAAGGGTTTCATTGAAACGAAATGCTCCGAAAAGCTCTGAAACAGCATTATTTCACTCTTCAAGCTTAAGCATTGTCAAAACAAGAGCAGGAGAAACAAAGGTGACTCAACACATCAAAAATCCAGTGATTGCTCAGCTTGTAAAATTATATAGCTTTTTCCATTTCGCAGTTCAAAATTCCACCTGGTTTATTCAGTTGATAATTAAGTGTAAAATGAGACAATACATATGTATATGCTTGCAAAAAGCGCTTTAAGAGGCCACTTAGAGAGACCATTATGCAGTTAGCTGCCATAAAGGCCGAGAATAAACATGCAACAAATGCAAATCCAAAGATGGCTAATTATGGAGAACCCGCGTCCAAATCATCCATTTCTTAAGCACCCATGATGTTCCCATAGTTGTGCTGTTAATAATCCATTAATGGATTTGCTCTACAGACGTGAGATAGCGGCTGGGGGCCATTCTGGCAAGGTCAGAGCAGTCAATGCAGATGTGGTTTTATAGGGAAGGCTTTTCTGATGTCGACTGTCTGGATTTTTCCATGTTCTCACTCAAGAAACATTAAAAATAAGTTCTGTTAAGCCCAATGATCCATGTGGGGAACAAGTCACGGCTTTGCCTCAAACAGAGTAAAACCTATTAGAAAGGTCAAAACACAAAATCTACTCTTTCCTCAAAAAGCTTGTCTAATATATCTTGGTCAAAAGTATTGGCACTCTTGACAAACATAAGCAAAGAAAGATGTGAAATTTTAATTGTATTATTTGTCCTTTCAAAATGTACAAACCTATACGTTAAACAACTGACAATAGAAGAATATTCCTTTTACCCTTTTTAATTTTACATTTTGCAACATCCATTTCCCCAAATAAAGATTCTGAGTGTCTTCTATAAAGCCTAATAACAGAGCAGTGTAATGACCATGTCAAACATTTTGTCAATTTATGTTTTTTGGGGGATCATTGTCATTGTTGAGGATCAAACTTTGAAGATGAGAATTATAGCATAGGCTAGCTTGCTTTTACTTACTGTGATGAATGAGTAGCAGAATTTGGCCTATGAATGTCATATTTATACTAATGTAAAACAGAGAGCCATGGCTTTTACTGGTCCTCCTGATATCCTTTGAACGTTAGGGATATTTCACTCCTAAGAACATTTAGGGGTGCCAAGAATTTTGGCCAAATTTTTAAAATGCTTTTGTTTTTATGATGATTTCCCTCCCCCCAATTTTTTTCCTTCGGGTTAGTCCCTTATTTATCAGGGTCCGCCACAGTGGAATATGTTTTACTTTGTGGATACCTTTCCAGCAACAACTGAGTACTGGAAAGCACACTACTAAAGTACATTCACACCAACACTCATTACGTCCAATTTTTGTTTACCCAATTTACCTATAGCGCATGTCTTTGGACTGTGGGGAAAACCGGAGTGGAAACTCCACACAGAAATACCAACTAGCCCAGACAAGACTCGAACCAGCGACTTTCTTGCTGTGAATAAGTGACTTTGAACGTGGCATGTTTGTTGGTGCCAGATGGACTGGTCTGAGCATTTCAGAAACTGCTGATCTACTGGGATTTTCAGGCACAACCATATGGGTTTACAGAGAAAGGTACGAAAAAGAGAAAATATTCAGTAAGTGGCAGTTCTGTGGGCACAAATGCCTTGCTAGTGCCCGAGGGCAGAGGAGAATGGCCAGACTGGTTCAAGCTGATAGAAAGGCAACAGTAACTCAAATAACCACAACCGAGGTCTGCAGAAGAGCATCTCTGAACACACAACACATCCAACCTTGTGGCGGATGAACTACAGCAGCAGAAGACATTCGGATGGTGGGGTCAGAATTTGGCATCAACAACATGAAAGCATGGATCTATCCTGCCTTGTTGCAATGGTTCAGGCTGGTGATGGTGGTGTAATAATGAGGGGGATATTTTCCTGGCACACTTTGGCCCGATTGCTGACCATGTCCATCACTTTATGACCACAGTATACCCATCTTCTAATGGCTACTTCCATTAGGATAACAGCAAATCATCTCAGACTGGTTTCTTGAACATGACAGCGAGTTCACTGTACTCAAATGGCCTCCACACTCACCAGATCTCAATCCAATAGAGCACCTTTGGGATGTGTTGGAATGGGAGATTCACATCATGGATGTGCAGCTGACAAATCTTCATCAACTGCATGATGCTAACATATCAATATGGACCAAAATCTCAAAGGAATATTTCCAGTACCTTGTTGAATCTATGCTATGAAGATGAAAGCAAAGAGGGGTCCAACCTGCAACTAGTAAAGTGTACCTAATAATGTGGCCGGTGAGTGTATAATTTTTTATGAAACATAATAAGAATAAAGGGAAAAAGCGTTGGTCTTTATTCAAATTTTCCATGGGAGGCAATCATTTTGACCATATGGTCGCTGTATGTACAGTATCAGTGATATCAGTGTCATTTTAATTGTCAAACTTGCAATTTATAGGAATCCCTCAGCTGGTGACATCTAATACTTCCTCAAAACAAAGGAGAGAATGTAAGTGATGACAGGGGTCTGGCTGCTGCCGCTCACCCATGCTGGATGCGGACGGCGGTCAGAGAGCACAGGAAGTTCACCCAGACTAAAAAAACACACCCAAACCAAGCCCGACATTCACGTGACTGTTATCTACACGGACCCAAGTGCAGAAATAGAGTAAGATGGAGAAATGCGGCAGCAATTAAGAAAAAAAAAAAGAAACACTAGAAGACTGTTAAAACAAAGTTACAGTCAAACATTTTGCAGACTTCATTAGTTCATGCACAGGTCAGAGAACCAATTTCACTTATCTTGCAGTTTAATAGAAGAGTTTTCCTTATTTTGTGATTCATGTTTTATTTAATTTTAATTTCCCCCATTTATTTATGCTTTGGAATTGCATTGATCTTGATCTCTGTTTAACCTCGATTTGTCTTCCAACAACTTTTAACTTTGAAAAGTTTAAAAAAAGTGACGTTTATTAACATTTTTAATAGTTTAAAGTGATATACTGTCTGGTTGGTGTTGTACATATTATGCTACAAAAACTTTGTAATTAACTGCCAGTTTAAATTAGTGTACCAGTGCTTCTTGTTTGTCTCCTACAAAAGCTTTTTTACGGTTTGTATCTGTCCAATCTTGCGGTTTGGTTCTCTTGAGTCTTTTTTTGTCATAAAAATAAATAATAATGGGTGTTGCGGTGGCACAGTAGGTAGTGCTGTCGCCTCACAGCAAGAAGGTTACTGGTTCTTTGTGGAGTTTGTATGTTCTTCCAGCATTCGCGTGGGTTTCCTCCGGGTGCTTCGGTTTCCCCCACAGTCCAAAGACATGTGGTACAGGGAAATTGGGTAAGCTAAATTGTCTCTAGTGTATGAGTGTGAATGAGTGTGTATGGATGTTTCCCAGAGATGGGTTGCAGCTGAAAGGGCATCTGCTGCGTAAAACGTATGCTGGATAAGTTGGCGGTTCATTCCGCTGTGGCGACCCCAGATTAATAAAGTGACTAAGCATAATGAATTCATAATTCATAATGAATGAATAAATTAATAAAAATATTTTAGTGTGCTTACTGTTCTCATTAGTCTTTTTAAAACATTTTTATTTGACATATTTTGTGACAGAACATCACAACGGTAGAGAACTTATGAAATGCTCATAAAATGTGTAAGAGGTTTAAAACCATGCCATCTTCATCTCACAAAAAAAGATCTGCTGCTATAAGATGAGTTTCTGACAAATCCAATAAAACAGAAGTATCTGTATCCTGGGCCCCATTTAGGCATTTAGCACATAAAAAACAAGGTGTCACGCAGTTATGACTTGCATGTACAGATACTACAGTATGTCTAAAGTGCAACCAGATTACATGAAAAGTGAGACATACTGTTCCTTCAAAAGTGCACTCGCCAAATTTCCTCCCTGCACTGTCAAGTGGTAACACTACCCATGAAAGAGAAGTTTCTGAGATCAGAACATTGGGCTACTGTATCAAAAATATACCATGTTTTTTTTCAATCACTCACTTCACAGAACAGCTGGTAGAAATGCGAGAGTAAGCTGCCTTTGGCTCCAGGAATCTCTGGCTGGGGCGCTGGGGTGCTTCTCATTTGCTCTCAAGTCAAACAGTCTGACCAGTCTGTTGTGGTTTGGCTTTAAAAGGTTAAATCTGCACATATGGTGGTCCATGGATCTGGTGCAAAAAAAAGACAAATCAAATAAAGGCAGCGTGGTTTTGTAGTTTAGACTTCTATTCACCTGAATTGAAATGAAAAGATAAAAAAATATACAGATTGGAATATATATAAGCATATATTTGTCCATAGCATATTACACAGTGCTCACGAGGAGATACAGTCAATTTAACACAGTGAATTGATCAGAGATCAGAGCAGAAGCTTTAAGGCAATTAGACAACGTGCGTCATTACAGTAATACAGTAAGGCAAAATATGCTTAACTTCACAAATATTCATCTTGATTGTCACATTATGAGACTTACTGCAAATCTACAGTATATATGAATGACAATTTTTCACAGATACTCAGCATTACCAGTGGAGATTTTTTCATAAATCCAGTTCTTTAGATTTATACTGTACAATATTTGGCAAGAGATCCATCAGTTTTTTATTTAAATGCAAGGCTGTCATGTTTTCTTTAACTCATTTTCCAGTGATACAGCAGATTCATGCACTGATCTGATAACAATACAAACTTAATAGAACTATTAAGCCATAGGAATGCCTTCTCTTTACTGTGAAGTCCCTTTTGTCTTTTTTTGCCCTCATTTTAAAAAAATGTAATGTAAACACTTTTGGAAATCCTGCAGATTAGGTTGGATTAACCCAGGTTTCTTGACATTTCCTGCTCATATATGGCCCTTGACATCAGATAAATGTAATGTGCGCTCCAGAGAGTTGCCTTAACAGATCCCCAATGGTGTCTTGAAATATACTGTTCATATAGCAGTTCAAATACTGTCTGTGGCCACGTACACACTGCAGCTATAGTAAATATTAGTAGCATTTTAGCACTATAATCATGTTAAGTAATTTACAGGAGTAACAATTACATTCAACAACTGAATTGACTTTTGAAAATGCAAGTGATTATAATTATAATTTGTATAGAACTGAAAAACTAGTTGTCAATGACCTATCAAAGCCTATTAAAGTCTTTTTCCCTATATGCTTGGTGCAAAGAATAAATTACAAGGTTTATCTCGACTCCTTAGTGTTGTCAGATCTAGCTATAAAGAAGTAAAATAAGCAATTAAAAGCAAACGCATTAATAAAATTACTCTGTGAGAAGAGTACCAGTGTTTGTTTTTCTACTGCTTCTTAAAATGAATCATGTCAACAAGGTGGAACACCTAACTGAAATTTGGTTGGAAGATGAAACTTAAAAAATAAGAAAAAGCAAATCTTTAGAAACAGTTGAAAACTGTCAAATAATGTAACAACAGCAACAAAGAACTATCAATGGCTCTTATTCCATGGTGTGTCGAAATTCTTGATTGTGACTGATGATTAAAATCATTTAATGCACAGATAATTGCAGTCAGTTTTGATATAAATGCACTTATCATGCACTAATAATGCGCTTCCCTCAAACATTAGCAGTAACCATAGCAACACAGTGACAGTTGCCGGAAACTCCTTCATTCCTCCTTTCTCTGTTTTATTTCAAGAACACTAATCTGTGCTTCATGCCAAAAATTGCACTGCAAAGAGCATGAAACGATAACAACCACATCGTTTTAAACAGCTCGTATGCACATTACCCTGCTCAATGTAACACAATCTAAATCAGAATGAGCCTGGGTTGGTTAAAACCACCACATCAAACCTGCAGCTCATTCAATAAATAGTAATAAATCACATTTTAAATCGCAAATTGCAATTTTGATCAGAAAAATTTAAATTAGATTTTTTTTTCTCCTCCAAATCGTGCAGCCCTACTGTCACTATATATTCTGCTGCTGAGTGAACGTGGCCTACAGTATGTGTGACCGATTTCAAATTTAGTAACTAGGAAGGAGAAGAGCTCATGACCTGGTCACAGAGAGAAAACAAGCAATTTGTGTATTTTAACAGCTCTTACACAGGCATGTTTAGAAGTCTGGCAACCTCTTCCAGATGCGCCTGCACATACTTTACAAAGTCAAGTACAAAAATGCACAAAGGAGCGTGAGCGCAACGTTCACACAAATAAACAACCCTTTTATCTCTTGCTCTTGTTCGCAGCCCGCATTCCCCACACACACACACACACACACACACACACACACACACACACACACACACACACACACACACACACACACACACACACACACACACACACAAACACACACACACACACACACACACACACACACACACACACACACACACACACACACACACACACACACACACACACACACACACACACACACACACACACACAAACACACACACACACAGATTCAAACACGTTGCCAACCTAAAGTTGACCCAAAATCGATTTACTGGGGATTTCGCTAAAGCAAAAATAAGCAAGTGTGATAGTAATCAGAGAGGCGGGCTGGTTGACAGCAGGGTTTCAGCTAATAACCAGTCTGTCTCGGACCTTACAGCCTAACAGTACAAATCAGGGTTTAACCTAAAGATCCAGCGCTGTTGAAAAAGGAGAGGAACGAATGGATGGGAGGCTCTGTCTCCCTCTCTCTCTGCGTGAAGGAAGAAGAAAGACGCATCTGGCTGTGAAGAAAGAAGTCTGTTTTACAAGGAGACATGAAAAAGGATTAAACAGGCCGGGAGATGAAAGTGTAAGTAGAATATGCGAGAGTTCAGGACCAGGTCATGGAGCTCTGTATGCAATACATGTACAAAAACAGACTGACATTATGCAACTTTCATGCATATAGTGTAGGAGGAGTAGAACAGGATATAATGCACACAGAAAGGCACACAGGACTTCAAAACAGTCTTCAGATTTCTCTTTTGGCTTGTACATATGCATGAGCAAGGCAGATCTCTGCAGTACTGTATATGTGTGGATGAATTTTTTTGGTGTGGTTGGTGTTGGAGTTGAAAGTTTATGTCTTTGTTTCCTTTAAAGTCTCACTGTGTTCCCTTTCCTAGTCCACTGAAGGGTCCAACCATCTTCATAGCAGCATAGTTCTGTAAAAATGACAATAGTTGATTATAGAAAAACATTTAACATATTTGTATTCATGCATTTTTAAAGTATGCTGCTAAATTATACTCAATGTCTAATTGCAACAACGTGCACATTCAAACTGAATTTATTCCACAACAAATATACTGCAGTAAAAACAGCCAGTTTTTTGTGACTGTGATTACATTGCTTTTTCTTTTAACATTTTGCTATGTATTTATTTCTGTTAAGGAAAAACTTTTTTTCAGGTATTTTTCTTTAGTGTTGCATGTTGCTTCAGAAATCAGTCTACTACAGTATGCTTGGTCTTGAAACTATATGGTATCAGTGTTGAAAATGACTGTTAGAATCATCTAACAAATCTTTTTTTAATAATAATAATTATTATTTTGTTATGCAAGGAAAAAGTGCTATTGTATATTAGTAGTAAATATTATTTTTTAAATTAATTAATTTAGAAATAAACATATGCAAATAATTACTCACCCCTAATCTGATCTGATCTGATCTATAATATAATATAATATAATATAATATAATATAATATAATATAATACAAATAATATAATATAATACAAATAATATAATATAATACAAATAATATAATATAATATAATATAATATAATATAATATAATATAATTAATATAATATAATTCAATATAATATAATATAATATAATATAATATAATATAATATAATATAATATAATATAATATAATATATGTACATTTATGCACAACTAAATATATTATACTTTTTATTTTTATAGGCAGAAATATCACTGCTTCCCACAGGTATGAAATAAACATGCAGTGTTTGCCGGATTAAAACACATCCTTTACCCACTGCACATAAATCGTTAACTACATGTGACACAAAAATTAATGTGATTTTTAACAAAACTTTTATTTATTATGACACTGTTATACACAGTTGCTTTTCAATTTGTTACAATAAAACAAAAATCCACTATTTCTCTTATTTTTATGCTATTTAGGAGCCATCTGCACATCTCTCTCTTCGGGCTACTTTATTGGCTTGACATTTAGAACAGTATTGCCAAAGCATTTCAGATACGTATAAAATATTTAATATATCAACGTCATCAAATGATTAACTTATACAGCAAATGAGATATAAATTACATCTACATAGAGTGCATCTCATTGGGTCCCTTTAGAGCATGTTCTTGCAGATGTTGATTGCACACAATGAGCAGAACAAAATGGGGCGAGAGAAGACTTTTCACTGGTTGATCAAATGTGAATGATTGGTTATCTTTTGAGGATATGAAAAAGTTGTAAAAGGATGATAGTATTGGTAAAAAAAATAAAAATAAAAAACTGTCATCAAATATACTTGGGAGGCCGTTAATATACCTTGGTGATGCACTCACGTAAAGCGTGGGAAACAATGAATATGTTTTACATCTTAAGTTTTGTTCTAATTAATCAAAATATTAATATACTTGTTTATTGATTTGAGAAACATTCTGATACTCTGAAATAATAGATCCATCTAGTTTTTAAGTAACCCTTTTTTGTCGCCTTTACATCATTTACTTGATATGAATAATATTAATAATTAACATAAGTACTTTTAATTGTAACATATGCGAATAATTTTGTTTAATTTGTATTGTATGTTAAAATTGTACATAAGATCCTTAGTTAAATGTGAACATGGTTTTGACTAATAGATGTTCGTAACACAGGATTGTTTGCACAGCATGTGCATGAGTCTTCAGCGTGTGCATTACTAAAAAACACAAGCCACAAGTTTCTGAACTGCGATCAGACACACACGTCTCTGATCAAACACTTCATGATCATAGAAACCACTATTTACACTTCAATCCTCTTCTTTAATCGACACAATTACTACCATGAGCTTGTAGGCAGACACACACACATATATACAGACAGAGATACTCACAGGGAAGGCGTAGAGAAATACTCCAAGGAAGAGAATAATGAAAAAGAGTATAAAGAGGCCCAGAATAAGCCACTTAAACCTCCTCCACACAATGAACCTAAACGTCTTATATGGGGACGAGAACCATAAGAATGATGTCTCGGGACGCCTAGAGAAAGACCGAAATAAGCACTATATTAGAAACTTTATATTAAATTCTGCAGCCCCACATTGAGCTGAGGGCCAATAAAAAGGTTAATACTGAAAGCTGTTATTGGAGAGGAATTGTGGGTGATGGGTTTTTCGCTTACTGAGGCTCCTCTAGATGGGGATTCATGTTGGGCTCATCTCGGCCGAGTCCTGCAGGCCTCTCATCCTGCTCCTGTTCACAGACTATTTCCAGAGACATCTCCACCTTTCCCTGAGTCACGAAAGAGAGAGACAAGCTGATAGCTGGAAAATGTGTACTGTAATTAGTGGTGTGTGATAATAATAAAACAATGAATCTCCAAATATATTTTAGAATTTCTTTGATTACAATAATTCAAGAATATTTTTTCTCAGTGTGTTTTTTGTTGTTGTTGGTAGCCTGACTGGTTTAAGCATGGCACAGAAAAATAAATATGAACTTAAAACTACCAGTAGGTCTCAATGAAGGATTAACTGAATAGTTCATTCAAATGACTTGTTCAAACTGATATAATAATTTGAAAACAAAGCAAGTCTTCATCAAACCATTGATACAAAATATTTGCTCATTTATTCAGGAATGAAACACTGCAGTGAATGATAGGCTGTTTGTTTAAATTCAGTTTTCATGAGATAATAGAGTGATTAAAAAATTATGTTATTACATTGTCTATTTTTCTTACTGTTAAAAAAATGCTGTAAAATGTACAGTATTGCTGCCAATTTTGGTTGCCAGTAATACTGTAAAAAGTAAAACTACAGCACAGGTGTAATAGTTAATTTACAATGCGATTGTAAATTTTGCCAGAAATACTGTAAAAATTGTAAGAAATACTGTAGTTTACAAGCGCACTGACAATTAATAATTACAATTACTGCTCTTTTTTCTCTGAGAGAAAGTTCTCCCAACCTTTGCACACGGATTCCCTATCCGCAACACGCACAACGCTCTTCAGCTTCGCGATCGACTTGTGCCTTAGTCGTTAAAAACACCAGTTTTGCTTCCAAAATCTTTTTCAAAATGAACAACCAACTTTCTGTGGTAAAGGAATTGCCATGTGTGCTATTCTACTATGCTCCTGAGGAGTAGATGATGTTTCAAGCACAGAATGATGACGCATGTCACGCAATGATTGTGTAAAACATCATAACCATTTACACTCCGACATAACCATTTACACTCGCATTGCAAAACATCAGATCTGTGTCTGATTTAAGACTACATATGAAAGTGGCACATATCTGACCTGAAAATATGAGATTCCATGCGGTTTGGGCTGTTCACACTGTCATTGCCTGAGTCACATGTGGGCAAAAAAAATCTGATTCGGGCCACATTTGGCTGCAGTGTGAACATAGCCAAACTGGCAATCAGTCATTAAAAAGTAAACAACTATAACTTTGGTCTGTGTGTAACTCTTACAGCAAGTATCTTCTTGTCTTCTTTGTCACAGACACACGGCCACCAGCCTTTCACCGTTTTCTGCTCAAACAAAGAGACCAGTTTGTCCTGGGACTGAGTGAGCATCTCAAGACCACACTTCTCTGGAGACTTCGCAGGACTCAGCATGTGGTTCAGATCCATCTCCAAAGAGCCTGAGAAAGAGATTCAGAATATTTATGTCACGCATGGCGAATACAACAAATACAACAGTGGAATATTTAATGTTCACCCAAGACTGTATATTAAGTAAAAGTGTCTTTACATTCATATCTCATCTGTAAATCGATCTGCTCGATCGTGCAGATTCGCACTCTATAACATCAGAAAGATCCGACCCTTCTTATCTGAACATGCAGCTCAACTCCTTGTTCAAGCTCTTGTTCTCTCCAAACTGGATTACTGCAACTCTCTACTAGCTGGGCTTCCAGCTAACTCTATCAAGCCTCTTCAACTGCTCCAGAATGCAGCAGCACGAATGGTCTTCAATGAACCTAAACGAGCACATGTCACTCCGCTGCTAGTCTGTTTGCACTGGCTGCCAGTTGCTGCTCGCATCAAATTTAAAGCTCTGATGTTTGCCTACAAAGTGACTTCTGGCCTTGCTCCTTCTTATCTGCTCTTACTTCTGCAGATCTATGTGCGCTCCAGAAACTTGCGTTCTGTGAATGAACGTCGCCTCGTGGTTCCATCCCAAAGAGGGAAGAAATCACTTTGGCGAATGCTCACGCTCAATCTGCCCAGTTGGTGGAATGAACTCCCTACCTGCATCAGAACAGCAGAGTCACTCGCTACTTTCAAGAAACGACTAAAAACTCAACTATTTAGTCTCCACTTCACTTCCTAATCTGCAATTGCCTCTCTGAATATCACACTAACTGTACCCAAAAAAAAAAAACAAAAAAAAAAAATACTAATACTACTAATACTTCCCTTCTTAGACTTTACAGACCTGAAACTTGCATATAGCACTTATTCATTGTTGCTCTTAGTTGTGTAAATTGCTTCCTTGTCCTCATTTGTAAGTCGCTTTGGATAAAAGCGTCTGCTAAATGACTAAATGTAAATGTAAATGTAAATAAACATCATCAATGTAAAATAAGCATAACAGGATAGAAGCAAAAGTCAGCAAGCAACCTAAATTTTTCCAATCATTTCCCATACGGTCAGTCCAAAAAAAAGTTTGTCCTTCAGCCTCCGCTTCTGGCAGTCTGTTATTTCTTTGAGGTTTTCACATCGTGGTCAGATGCTAATTATTTCACGAATGTTCATAGATCAGAGTATTTTATAGAGGTCTTTAAAGAGTCAGCCCATAACTCATTTTTCTTGCAGTTTGTGCTGACATGCTGGAAATCAGGTTCAGCTGATAATAATAATATCAGCAGTAAAGACGTTATAGGGGTCTCGTGTGGTCTGAATGATGTATTTGCGTTAAGGTTGTTAAGCTCATTTATGCTGACGGTCACACTTCACAACCTCACACAGGTTACGGAGGTAGCCATCACCAAAAAAAAAACTTCATCTGCGCTCATGTCCATACAGACAGCAGAGCTATAGGTTCAAAACAATAAACCACACACATGGTCCTATCAGTGTGGTCCAGTCCCACACAGTACTTTTCTTCTGTCATGTCAAGGCTGAAAAATACGCAGAAGGGCTTTGTGGTGCTGCGCAAGGTTAACACGGCTGAATTCGCTGAGCTGAGGAGGAGGCTGAGGAGTGATCTGACATGAGGGATGACGAGTGGCTTTTTGGTCTTACCGAGGAAATCATCAAAGGAGAACTTGTCATTGTCCCAAATCTGGATAGTAAGTTTAGGAGGAAGCTTCGTTTCAACTTTATCCAGACTCCAAAAGTGCTCCTGGAGAGAAGGAAACATGGTGTGATTGATAGAGGTTCAGACAGAAGAACTACCTACTTATTAATTACTGTAGCAATTTTTCTGATGAAAGTGTAGACGTTTGTTTCATTTGTGCTACTGTAACCATGATAAGTGTAAAGGTGAAATTATTTACCAGTTATCTTTGGTAATTTTCTAAAAGTTTTAGGCTCATTACTTTTATATTTATATGACTTTTTCTGACATCTAATGTGCAAGGTTAATCTGGCTGATTCATTGAAGCACTGTTTTATAATAGAAACCCAAGTGTAAGGGCATATGTCCACTGGAAGTGTAAGGTCACATGTCCACTGACGCGTTTTTGACCTTTTTCGTTTAGAAATAAAAAATAAAAACCTTTGAAGTAGTTTACTGAGTATTATTCAAGGTTTCTCCATAAAGCATTTTTCCCAATGAAAACAAGTTTTTTTTATTTCAATGAGAGCACAGATTTTTTTTTTGTTTTTTGTTTTTTCTGTAGCATGATAAAGTGCTGAGTGTCTTTAAATTTCACTGGCCATTTTTAAATGTGCCATTAGTTGGAAATTGATAAACTTTTTGGGTCACACTTTATTTTGTTGGTCTGTTTGTTGAATTTAAGTTACATGCCAACTAATTCTCATTAAATTATATGTAGACTGTTAGGTTGTGATTAGGGTTGGGGTTAGGGTTAGTTGACATGTACTTGCAAAGTTTCTTATAGTCAGTTAAATGTTTGTTGAAGGAGCAGTATCAACAGAAATTAAGCAGACAGTCTACTAATGCTAAAATTGACTATCAAAATAAAGTGTTACGACTTTTTTATCTGTTTATTAAGCTTTTACAGATTAAAAAAAAAAAATTACAGAAATATTTAAACAATGATTATTTTTATCCCTACCATTTAAAACAAAATGGAATTACATTTAATCAAAAAGAAAAAAAGAAGAAAAACAATAAAAAAATAAAAATAAAAACTTTAATAAATTAAAACAAAACCTGTACAAAATATACATGTACCTTAATAACCCAACATTATACACATTATTCCTAAGGTATTTTTACAATGCACTTACAGTTGAAGTCAGAATTATTAGGTCCCCCTGTTTGTTTTTTATTGTTTAATGTTTTTTTTCAACACACTTCTAAACATAGCAGTTTTAATAACTCATCTCTAATAACTGATTTATTTTATTTTTGTCATGATGAAAAAGTCTAATAATTTGCTAGATATTTTTCAAGACACTTCTATACAGCTTAAAGTGACATCAAAAAGCTTAACTAGATTAATTAGGTTAAATAGGCAGGTTAAGGTAATTAGGCAAGTTATTGTATAACAGTGGTTTGTTCTGTAGACTATCGAAAAAATAAATAGCTTAAAGGGGCTAATAATATTGAACTTAAAAAGGTCTTTAAAAATGTAAAAACTAATTTTATTCTAGCCAAAATAAAACAAATAATACTTTCTCCAAAAGAAAAAAATATTATCACTCAAACTGTGAATATTTCCTTGCTCTGTCAAACATCATTTGGAAAATATTTAAAAAAAGGACAAAAAAAATAAAAGCAAGGTTAACAATTCTGACTTCAACTGTAATTACAGTTGAAATGAAATAAACAGTATTTTATGTTTTTTTTTTAAATTCAATTCCTCTTTATTTCTTCAGCACTTTTACAATGTAGATTGTGTCTTAACGTAAAAACTCTAGTAAATTAAAACTGCATCAGTCCAGTTTTCAAAGTTGAAGTTCAGTTCAGTGTGGTTTAATTTTCACTGCTGGAAGACCAAAACACTGAAGAGCTAATCCATCGATGCGCAGCTCCACAACTCCCAAACCAAGCAAGCCAGTAATTTTCTGGGAGACTAGCAGCTATCAGACATACAAATTGAATAATCACATGTAGGCATGTGGGCATGGGACGATAAGAGGTTTCAAGGTTTACTGTGGTTTAGAAAAGTCGAGGTATTAAAACCGCAAAAAAATTCTGTTATGCCGTTTTTATGGTTTATGTACTTTTACATGTTTTTTTATGACTATTTTATTTAGCTACTTTATGGCAACATTATCCAACAGAAAAGAACCTTCCACATCACTTGTCAGACCCTGACTCAGAAAACATTTGAAAAACAAAAAGCTATAACACCAACATCCAAACATGCCATGAACCCTAACAGTGCAGTGGCTTACTTTTATTCAAAGAAAGATAACCAAGGATGCCTTTTCAGGTTGTAGAGAAATCTGTAGTTTTTCAAACTAATAAAAACAGCAGAAGTCAATGATTTACTTTAATTATTAAGCCTGACATGTTTACTGTTCCAAAATATTTAAAATGTTTCTTAAAAGAAAATATATATGGCCCTATCATACACCAGTCTCAATAAGGCCAAAGACTAGCGAAACCCTAATTTCAGACTACCTGTAATTTCAGAACAGCAAAACCCTCATTTTTACGTTTTGCGCCCCGTTGTTTAACAAGCAAATTCATTTGCGCCACTTTGTGGACTCGTAGGAGTTCTGGTATAAAAAGGAGGTGTGTTAAGGCGCATTGTTGGCACGTTGCTATTTTGAGGAACTGAAATAGACTGCGCCACTGACCAACTAAAGGCTGGTCTAAAGTCCAGCACAAAGTGCATTTGTACAACGTTATTATTCCTAGCAGTTTTATATATTATGTGCATATGTATATTTGCTATAATAAAAACAAGTTTAGATCTGTCCACCTCTTCGGTTTTGGAGACAAATGTGTCACCATATAGGGCATAAGAATAGGACGTGTGTTTGGTTATAACTCAGTTTTTTGACCACACTTCCTTATTATTGTTCATTTATTCATTTGCTGGAAATTAGAACTGATTTTAGAAATAGTTTGGAAACAAATCTTTCCTCTTAACAAACACAATTAAATATGTAGACTAATAGATGTCTTTACCGTTTTCTTACTCCAGTAACGTAAAGAAGTAAAAGTTAGGTAAAAAGAATGTGAAGAGGCCGAATGGAGGAGGCTCGTTCTTTATCCTCGCACTGTAGAAGTTTGTTTTCTCACTAGTGAAGCATTCAGTTTTACCTACAAAGTCCCCCATGTAAATAGCAAATGCGCCATAGAGCGACATAACTGACTCCTAAAGGGAATGGGAGATGAGACTCTGATTGGTTTAATGCCAGTTATGCTCAAAATACACACATAATTCATTAAGAGACTAAGCACAACTCTGTTAGAACACGTGCCTATTTTTCCATTCTTACAATAGCAAAAGTGGATTCAGACACAGCTTTAATGCTTTTGTACCATGCGTTTTACACTTTGCACTTAGATTGTTAAATTAGAGCATAGTTCAATGGGGAAAGGTTGGTGTTTATTACCAAGACATTTAAAAAGAACATATTTTAGACCAGTAATTACAATTCTGTGTTATCATAATATTTTTATTCAAGGTTGTCATACTGTCAGAATCTTATACAGGCCCATTCCAACAATATAGTCTTCATCGTATCTAACTACTGTATAATTAATCTTTCATAAAGTACAAACATTTTAATTTCTTGTGTCTGAATGCTGTCAAATGGCTTGAAATGCTCACACAATCACAAGCCTTAAAAACACATGCAGATGATATACCTTTTGGTAACTTTATGGTTAAACTTTGCAATGACTCCACATGTGTTTTTACAAGAGCACCTGGTCAACTATAATCCTGACTCCACATTGCAGATCCTGTGATGTGACTACTGTATTGTGAATGCTCACATTGTAGTATTGATGCTGAAACGATATATATTGTGCAGCCCCAGGAGAAACAGTAGCAGAAATAATCTGACAGGCTTGAGAAAGACAGAGTGAGGAAATGATCGCGTGAATGTGCGAAGCAGAATTAGAAAGCGGGTGAGAGACAGAGAGGGAGAGAGTCAGAAAAAGAGTGTTAGCGACTCCCGATTCTGCACCCCACCGCCAGACGAGATTCCAGCAGCGTGATGGCATTACTGTACCCGTGATGGATGAACGGACAAACACGGCCAGCATAATGAACACACGCTTCACAGGGCTGCACTGCTGCCGTTCACCGGTAAACAGGCTGCACGTCCAGCCTGACAACCGCGTACAGCTCCATCAAAACAAACACTGCAAATAAGAACTCACTTCCAATCTATCACTGAGAATCCGTCTCGCTATGTATCAGCTCTATGGTGTGTTGTGTCCAAAAAAAAAAGCCCAGCCAAAGTGGATCTATCTTCTGACAGCTGTTGTGGGCAGCTCTCTCCGTTTAATGGGTGGAACCGCTATCTTCAATCTTACCATAACTGATCTCTCGCCTGCCAAAACCTCACTTTAAGTGCCTTGTCCATCACGACTGTTTTCTCTGAGCTGGCTTGGCTGAAGTCTGGACTGTCTTGCTGTTACAAGATGTTCATGTACCACGTTCAAGCGAGTGGAAGCATGCCAGATGCAGCCTGCAACATATCTGGGTTTGAAACATTGCATTTAACACCTGCCAACTGCACTGATATCCTTCAAAATGTGGGCGTTAGGCGAAACCTCTGCAAATCACGCAGGGTGACCCGCGGATCACCTACTCAGACTCAATCAAAGCTGGAGATTTCTGTGCAGAGTGAGGATATGAATGTTGACAGGCCTAGCGTCACCCGCTAACCACTAAACAAATACAGTTTGAGTTTTCATGTCTTTCTTAGTTGATGTTAAGGATGCATTGAAATAAAAATTCTGGGCCAAAACAGGAAATTTCAGGTGCTATTGGCTGATAAACAAACAGAAAAATGAATAATTATTAAACAAACAAAAGAAAAACAAAAACATTTTAATGGATTGTTTTAATATTAGATTTTTTACTTATTTCAGGAAATTCTAAGTTTTATTTAACTAAATATAATACAAATGAATTAAATTATCTCACCTTTAAATTGACCTTATTTGAACCTTTACAACAAATGGAAAATATTTTTGCACATAATTAAGTGAAGTTTATTTATAAACTAATTTTGAGAGGATCATGTGCTTATGATTGCTTGCGGCTGGTCCCGCATTATCCAATTTATGAATCACCAATCAGATGACTCCTAAGCCACTATAAATACCCTAAGTTCCATATAACAGCCATCTTCGTTTTGAAGAATCCCCCCTTCCACCCTTACTCCTCCTCCTTTCCTAGATGGGTGGCACGGTGGCCCAGTGGTTAGCACTGTTACCTCACAGCAAGAACGTCACTAGTTCTAGTCCTTACTGATGGATTCAAATTTTCAAATAAAATTCAAAAAAATTATTGAGAAGAACTATTGCCAGTAAAGTCACTAATCTTACCCAAACCGTTTTCTGCTTTCTTACACTATCTGTTAAACTTTTGTTTAAGCAACAATTGATTGAGAAATAATAATAATAAATATTATTATTACGCCATTTAGTAAATTGTAGTATTTCCATAGCAGTTTAAACTACCCTTTCAATATGTACAACAATAATCAAAAAGAAAGAGCTTTGATCTTCTGGGGAAGAATATCTGAATGCATCAGTTACATCAGGTTTCCACTAATTTTGTGTGCTAGAATGTTAAAACGGCCCTCATATGAGTTGTCAGTCACTTATATGGCCACCTGCCAATTTTAGTTTGAGACTGCTGAATTTTGGTAACCTGACATCCTGACCTAAATCTAACCTAATATTAACATCTTATTACACTGTGTGCCTGCTGGGAGGGATCATTTAATTCTGGTTTATTGATCATTTTATTCATACAGCAAGCAACATCAAATTCAAAAATAAAAAAGCAAAAAACTAAATCTGTGGACACTGGACAGGCAAGGTGGTGTATATACTTGATTGATATTTTCTGCCTTTTTTCTTTCTGTAAAAAAACGGTAATGGTAATTTCAAAGGGACCATATAGGATTCCTAGATGTCAGATATTCTTGCTTTCTGCTCACCTTTTTATCAATGGTGCACAGTTGTTCCGCAGGTAAATAGTGGAAGGGGAAGAGGAAGCGCCAGTTAAAGTTACCCTCACCACCCAGCGATCGGTAGTGCACGTCTGTTTTCTGCTTGTTCTCCTCATGGCCGTGCATCCAGCTAGGATTGAAAAAAAAAAACATTCGCAATTACCCTACACCTTATTTCCAACACATTAGAAGACAATGCTGCTCAGCTGTAATTGATCTACACCTTGGGTCTATGGTTGCCTCGCAACTGTGTGTTTGTTGCTACTGATCGATTATTTTTGCAAGCCATTGTTACTATTGGTCACAGTGGCAACAGACAAGCAACAGGCCAGTGATATGGGAAACAAGAACTACTCAATCTAAGCAGAGCTCATACACATAAACCCAACAACCCCTTTATGACACCCAGATGTACCCTTTCACATAAATGTCACTCATCTTCTCCCCGGTAACGCTGACATCATCCAAGATTACATCTCTTGTGTTCCATATAATACAGCGCAGGAAGAACCTATGGGGCAGAAAACAAGGACTTGTTTAGATTTTTTGAGAAAGACACACTGACAGATAGTGAGTGAAATGCTCTTACTTTTTAGCTTTGCGTGGGGTGATGTTGAATGGAGGACCTGGAGGGCCTAAAGACTTAGGGAACAGGTCCACCCACATTTGTAGTCGCCCCTGAGTATTGGAAAATAAATAAGTCTCAGTGAAGAGTGACAAGGCATCTTTTGCATGACATACAGTAAACTCTATGAAGCAACATAACTATGCAGATTTAAAAGTATGCTTACAAATACAATAAAATCGCTGAAAATAACTGCTAAAATACAAGTTGCCACTATGTAAAAGAAAATAATACAAATAAGTATATTACAATAAATAAAATGAAAATAAATCATATTATACATGAGGTACAGTGCATCCTGAAAATATAAAGTGAGCTCACTTTTTTCACATTTTTTAAGTTACAGCCTTATTCCAAAATGGATTAACTTCATTTATTTCCTCAAAATCCTACACACAATACCCCATAATGACAATGTAAAAAACAATTCTTTTGAAATTGTTGCAAATTTAAAAAAAAAAAAAAAACCTGAAAAATCACATGTACATAAGTATTGACAGCCTTTTCTGTGAAGCTCTAAATTGAGCTCAGGTACATTCTGTTTCCACTGATCATTTTTGAGATGTGTCAGCAGCCTAATTGGATTTCACCTGTGGTAAATTCTATATATACAAGGTCCTGTCTATATAAGGCCCCAGGTTTGACAGTGCATGTCAAAGCACAAACCATGCCTGAAGCCAAAGGAATTGCCTGTGGACCTCTGAGACAGGACAATGACCCAAAACACACAAGCCAATATATCAATGTAGTGGCTTTACAGCAACTCGGTGAATGTCCTTGAGTGGCCCAGCCAGAGCCCAGACCTAAATCCTTTTGAACATCTCTGGAGAGTTCTGAAAATGGCTGTACACCATCACTTCGCGTTCAATTTGACAGAGCATGAGAGGTACTGCAAAGAGGAATGGGCAAAAACTCCCAAGGACAGGTGTGCCAAGCTTGTGGCATCATATTCAAAAAGACTTAAGGCTGTAATTGCCGCCAAATTTGCATCTACAAAATAATGAGCAAAGGCAGTGAATACTTATGTAAATGTGATTTTTCAGGTTTTTTTACTTGTAAAAACTTTGCAACGAATTTAAAAACACTTTTTTTAAAATTGTCATTATGAGGTATTGTATGTAGAACTTTGAGGAAATAAATTAATTTAATAAATTTTGGAATAAGGCTGTAACATAAAAAAATGTGGAAAAAGTCAAGCGATATGAATACTTTCCGGATGCACCGTTTAATAATACATTTAAACGCATTAGATACATACAAGAGAATGACACTTGTAATGTAAAATTAACTAATGAAATATGGAAATGCAATGTCCTGTGTTTATATAATAAATAAAACATAATAGAATTTTGGAAGTAACAATAGAAGTAACAATATGTGACGAATAACCTGTTCTATATCTGGCTGAAGGGGGCTGTAGAGGGGTCGCGTCTCGACATGTTCAGGCACCAAACCATGCCTCCTCAACACCAACAGAGCCAGACGCTCCATCACTGGTCCCAAGTGAGGGTTAAGAGGTTTCCCTTCATCTGCAGTAAACCATAAGGTCATTATAATTTACATCCACATTGACACACAAGCTCCAAAACAGAGTCATATCAAACTTCCATGTTTATTCAGGTTATAAGAGTTTAAAGTGCCCCTATTTTGCAATATAGAAGGTCATATTTTGGTTTTGGGTGTCCCCAACAAAAGGCTGATATGCATGCAAGGTCAAATACACTTTCATTGTCTTATAATATGCATTTATTTTTATCTTATTATCCAAATAATTCCCATATGATTCATTCTGCGATTCATTTGTTCACAAACCCCTCCTTAATCTGTGCAGATTGGACCGATGACCTAGTCTGTTCTGATTGGTTGACTGCGTTCAGTGCGAGACAGAGAGAAATGCCCACCATAGCTATGAAGTAGCAGAGATTATGTGAGAGGCCAATGCAGGAATGCAATAAAGAAATGCAGTTAAACACCAGAATATTATTGTACTCTTAACGCTAACCCTAATAATAACAACGACACATTCAGCATTAACAGCCAGCGAGTCCGGTGTTTCAGCGTAGGTTATTGTCTCAAAAATCTGAAAAATGACAGGAGCAAACACAGCACTAGGTTGGCTATACTGTGGTGTTGTTGTGAAAATGAACTTTAACTCTTTACTGCCTGCAGCCGAATCTACGTCTGTCAGTGATCGTCATCTTCATGTCATGATCAGTCCCGTGATCCCTCACGCTCCGCTAGTGTCTGAAGGGAACACGCATTCACATTTTAACAGATCTGGAACTACATATTTGGTGATGTACCATGTCGATGTTGTCGCATTCAAGCAAAACATCCTAACCCAACTTGATTCATTTATTCAACTCTGAGTCGACCATTTTGCTATAGAATCAATAGTTTTAAACACGGTGCACTTTTAGATTTAAACCTCAGCTGGATGTTTTCATTCACATAGTGCTGTTACAAATGGCATGGAAGCTCATTGTAAAAAACCCATAATAGGGGCTCTTTAACAATACTAAAGAAGATTCATCATACTGCTATTTTCCATTCAAACCATGAAATGGAACCAAAATGTAACCTCTGATTCGATATGAAGAACATTTGGGCATCAAGTTTTATGAAGTCCAACAAAAAAGCCAACGTTCATGAAGCATTCCACTTAAATAGTCGGAAATGTTTATCTTTCCCTGTTCCTTCGATGATGCGTTGATTTCATTGCTGTTGATCTAAGACGAGAGTTTTCCCTTTCGAAACGCAAAAAGAGAGAGCGAGAGAAGCAAAAATAAAAAAAATAAACGCCCACTGTTGAGTTTATGGTTTGAAACCCTGTGTCACGTCCCTCAGGGAAACACGGTCGGAGTCTGGAGAAACAAGGAAAAAGACTGAAGTGGAGGAAGACAATTTGTGCCATGAAATGCCCCAAATGGCCACCTGATAATTGCTTTGACGCGCGGGTTACTGCAGTTACGTGGACCAAACAAAGAGATGTAGTTTTCCTCCACCAAGAGACACAGGAGCGTGAGGCTGAAGGAGGCGGTTGTGTTGACCTTGGCTGAACATGCTTGTATGCTAGTTCACCATAAATCTGAAGCCGACCTCTGGTCCCAAAGCATCATGGAATTGGAAAACGGCTGGAGAGCTTGGCTTTCTGTAGGCCCTGTGTGACATATGACTGGTAGAAAGGCGGCTACGAGACTTGAAGGGGCTTCAAGGTCAAGCCAGATGTGTTGGGAGGATCTGATGGAGGTTACACATCGCTAACATCGACTAGCATAACTTTGCATTATCCTCCCAAAGGCGCACTTTGAAACAGAATGGACGTCAGGTTGCTGTGGCAAGGAGTGATGTATTTGCTACGAATGAACGACTATGTCAGAGGTGCTGTATGTTTATACAGGTCCTTCGTCTTTACAATATCGCACTTGTTTTTCTTCACACAGAGGAACAACTCATTCTTTCCGCTTATAGCGCCCGAGTAGAAACAGCCAAACGGCTTCACCGACAGCTCTGTGATCCCACACACACAGATATGATGTATGGCACAAGCCGAGACATATATCGTTATTCTTTTTCTGTCAGTATTTTTACAGAACCACAGCCGATCTTGTGCTCAGCTCGCTTTTCTTTTTTTTTAATGACGGAAGATGTGATGGAGTCGGGCTGCTGCTTTGATTAGCTCTTACTCGTGACTAATGCTTTCAGCAGCTCCAAAGAAAAGACTTCCACTTTCTTTTTTCGCCGTCCAGCCCGCGGGTTTAATAGGTTGCGATACTTGCATTCATTCGTATATCTTCACTATCTGTCAAGCCACTTTTTGATAACGACAATCGAAGAATTAGCGCTTATTAAAATCAGCGATAGGAAACTAGGTTTAGTTGAAATGTGTGTTTGGGACACTGACCAAGGTCTGCGACAGTGTATTCATGTCCTCTGAAGTAAATTCGATCCTGCTTGTAGACGGGGAGTTTGTAGTTTCGCCTCTCACACAGACGATGAAGTAGCTGAGATGGTTTAAGTTGATCTCGCCACTGGTTAATTCCTGACCTAGAGTCAGCACATAGAAAGAAAAAGAGTTCATTTAGAACACAAAATGGTTCTTTGAACCATCAGAAGAGTAATCATCTGCTAACTATAAAATAAACAACTTTTCTCCATTGTGCAGAGCCGTATTTTCTTAACTTAATAGACTTCTCACTACACTAAAAATTCAGGAGTAAATCCACTCAGTTTCCGCTAATAGATAAACAAACCCAACTGCTGTGTGTCCAGATTTTACTCAACTGAGGTTAAATCTATTTAAATAATTTTTCAACAATTAGTTTAAAGTAATATACTTGTAGTTGCTAATAATGAAATACTTGTATAGTATTTATTTCTCTTAATGATAATTTCTATAGTGATTATATTTGTTCCACTGTAACGGTGGTGTTGGAAAGTGTATTATTCCAGAAAACTAAACAATACAAAATGCCACTTGTTTTAGTTGTACCTTAGTTGTGTGCCAGATAGAGATATCTGGCAAAATAAAAAGAATAAATACGCGGCTAGCCCTCACCACCAGTTACAAAAATTAAACCCAAAATAAATAAATAAACAATGTGAACTAGATATTCTGATTAGGGTGTAAAACATTACTCATATGAAGCTTATGTGTGTGTTGTTTCAAGAAAGTAATCATTTATTAGTGTTTTATTTTCATTTGTTTGTGTTTGTTTATTCTTCATTTAATTATTAAATTTAATCATATGATCATTAGTTATTTATACAATTATCATTATGTCATTTTAATGATCATTAGTTAATAATTTGATTATTATTGGATATTATTTGTCATTTTATTATGTGCTTATATTTTATTAGAATTATTTTATTTCATTAATTCATTAATTATTTCATTTTTCCACATTGTTATAATCTTATGACTGTGTGGATTCATGCAATACTTGTTTTCAAGCATAAAAAATAAGAGGATGTCTCACTTTCAAGATCTGTATCGTCTCTGGACAATGTTGTGAGGCAGTAATTTTCCATTGCTGTTGCTTGTGGTATAATAACACCTGTTGGATTTATCCTGGTCAGACAAAGTCTGAGCATTGAATCATACATAACTAAGATTATTCAATAGACACTGGTCTTTCTTTATAATCATTGTTTTGTCTCCTGCTTCTGCTCCTCTCTAGCTTTCTCATTCAACTACCATATTAATAAGTGACTTTAATTAAAGAGTCTTTAATTCTGTTGAACACTGGTTAACAGGTTTGGGCATTGGGTGGCTCCACTGGCCTGTCACTGACTACCCAGGGAAACAGACATTTTCTGACAGAATCTGGTGTCCAGGGCTAAATCTTAATCTGGCATGAGGGGGGTCTAACACATAGTTAAGGTTAACTAATACGTAGGGCCAGATGGAATCTGCGGACAATTTTTGCTTTTTCTGTACAGAATTTTGTTAAAAATCTGTGGATTTAGGCAGAATGATTTTGGGAGTATCATAACTAAAATCTTATTATATGAAATAAAAAGTAATACCGTGTAAACTTTTATTTAATGTTTACAATTTATTTAGTAAACAAAACAAGTCTCTCATATAATATCTCTACTAAAAGACAGAAAATATTACTTTACAAACTGTATTGTAAATAAATCATATGAATATTTTCATATTATTCAAAAACATATTACTGAAATTAATAAAAAAACTGAATAAATATAAATTTACACACATTTACACAAGTAAATAAACAGAATCAATAATGGGCTAAAAATCTGCGGAATTCAGAGCACACAGATTTCATGTAGGCCTACTAATACGTTAAATAATGTAAACAAATAAGACCCTATGGGAATCTTTTCATGATTTAAATATAAATATCAGTAAAATAATGTCATGTGTACAATCACATTTGAGACTGTGTGAACCAGAAAAAAATATTATACAGTACAAAAATTACATTACAAAAGTCATGACAAAAAATACTTTTATGTTACTTTAACTTATTTTAATAATAAATTATAACTAAATTATACAAAAAAGTTCACTTAATGTTTTATTAAGTTTTAAGTAAGTTGAGATGACTAAAAAAAATTAATTTGAACAACTAAAAACAATTATTTGAAGTGTATCTGAAAAGTCAGAAAAAACTGTTTTGTCCAAGCTGGAAGACTAGCAACAACAACCTAAACAGCTTGGCCAGGATTTGAGACCAACTACCTATTTTAAACTGATTAAACTGTTTTTACTGAGTCAGAGAAGATCAGCATCGAAATATGATTGAATCTGACGAAACTCAACAATCAAAGTGCCCAAACATGTTCCGGGAGATCCACTGTCTCACAGAGTTTAACTTCTACCCTAATTAAACACACCTAAACCAACTAATCGAAACCTTTAAACAGGCTAGAAACTTCTAAACAAGTCTGTTGGAGCTGTCTGAGGCTCAACTCTGCAGGACCGTGGCCCTCCAGGAGTTGAATTGGACACGCATGGGATATTTCATAGATAAACGTACACATTAATTTCCTGTTCTTTACAATTTTCATAAAGACTAATAATAAAAGGGAGATGAAAGGAAATAGTATGACAAATAGGATATCTCTTACAGACAGTAGGACTGCGGAAGGCCGCAGCGAGCACCATGACGAGACAAGAAGCGGTTCTCCAAATCAATGATGGTCTCTCCGATTTTCTCATCTTTAGTCACCATGTCGTAATCATAGAGTGTAATCTTCAGGTCTTTCTCAAGAGGCAGACAGCAGGTCAGCTCAAACATCCTACAGTAGATGAGAAGCAAAAAACAAACTTTTTTTTTTCTTTTAATACTTGTCGGAAATAATTTTACCTAACAAGGTCCTAATTCACAATCTCAGTATTCTGCCATCATTGAACTACCAGAACAATCTTCCCTTCTTGATCCAAGACCCTTAGGGTAAGGGAGTCATCATTATTATGAGTGTGGCGACCCCTGCTGGTCTGCTCCATCCTTGCAATGACGTGCGTTTCTGCATCTGCATGGTGCTTGTGTGTATGTTCAGAGACCGTGAAAAAGAGAGAAAACTCACTTTCCAAAGACGGGCTCCAAAGTACAGGGTATGTAATTGTCGTGGTCATCGACTGATTTCTTGCCAAGCGTGATCTTAACATAGGGGTCACACTATGAAAGAACAAGAAGTGCTTGTTAGTATGTGTTAACACAGCCACACACTTGCACGTATATACTATAAGCGACAATATCCAAAACAGCCCGCCCTCGTTTTGTACTTAAAACAAGCGCTCTTTGCTCTCGCTGTGGAAAAAGGCAGCAAATCTCTGTGATCAGTGTGTGTTTCACAGGCAGCGAGTGCATGTGTGAAATGTTCCATATCATAACTCCTGGCCTGAGTAGGTGATGAAAGGACGTCATCTTAGCATATTCGCAACTAATGAAGGGAAAGCCCATCTGACGCCGGGCCAGCGGTGGTGGCGTGTTGGCCAGGTCGATTGAGAGTTTATGGTTGTGGGTAAAAGGGTGGCTCCATGTTTTCATAAAGCAATTTTTCGGCTCGCTCTTATGACTCTGGCACTTGCAGAGGATTCGCAAAAGACTCGTCTGGCCAGTGAAAAAAAAAACATGACAGAAATTTGTGAATGTGTCTGGTGAAAAAATCAAAACAAGAGCTGTTGCAACAACCTTGAGTCATTTAGAAAATTGAACAACTGATTTTTTTAAATGTGATAATTCCATTGGGTTTTACCTACCTTGCCATTGGCATCTTTGGGCTGTAACCCAAAAGCCTGGATGATGTAGATGCGTACCAAGCACTCCTCTATACCGTTCGGGGGGAGTTTGCGAAACTGACGTGTGGGTACAGGCATAGAGGGATCATCAGGCAATGGATAGATCTTAAACGAACCCTGAAGGAGGACGAGACAGGAGTCAGAGTAACTCATGGTGTAATTTAGTTTTACTTTTTTTTCTGGAGACCTGCTGTCTGGGGCCTCCAGACAAACCTCAAATTACACTTTAATCCCTCAAATTTAGTTCCCTCAAATCCTACTAGAACTAAACCAGTTGTAATCTAAATAAACCAGGAAAAAGCATCTACACTCTACAAATTAAAGCTTCCAATTAGAACCAAGATGAGATTTACGGCCATATGTTGGATGCCTTAAGAGAATTCTATAGGAATAGTGCACATAAAATGAAAACTCATTCATAATGAATCATTTACAAAATCACAAAATAGACAAATAAAAAGTATTTTATTTCATAATACGCTAGAAATATGGAATACTTTTATTTTTATTTACTTATTTTATTTTTTTGCTTTTTAGTGGTAGTCTACTGACCTTAATCTTCAGTGCGGAAGTGTGCTAATTTTTGCGATTGTTTTAGAACTTCCGATTCAGTTGCCTATGGGACAAAAATGTCTACGAATAATAAACCGCAGAAAATGGTCAGAAAGTGTTTGCATGACCATACAGACAAAGTAGAATAATATAATAAGAAAATATCAGTTTGCAACATCAAGCAGCAGAATGAGCTATTTTAAAATCTAAAAATCAATGGAAGTGAATGAGACTGGAAGTCTCGAACCAAAAAGATTGAAATGGCTGTGCCAGCTCATATGCGAAGAATAAGGTGAATAATTGATTCTTCATTTTTGTTGTATGGTCTAAATCAGAGGTGTTCAAACTTAGTCCTGGAGGGCCGGTGTCCTGCATATTTTAGTTCCAGCCCCAATTAAACACACCTGAACCAGCTAATCAAGCCCTTTCTAGGTATACTAGAGTTCCAGGCTGGTGTGTTGGAGGGAGTTGGAGCTAAAGTATCCAGGACACCGGCCCTCCAGGACTGAGTAAGGACACCCCTGGTCTAAATGATTTGAAACTTATTATTATTATTAACTAAAGCTAAATTCAAGTTTTAAGTGAAATAAACTCTTAATAAAATGTAAATACTTAAAAAGAAAATTAAACTTTAAACAAAATCGTATTGAATATAAGATTAACTTGAAGTACAGTATAGAAATGTAATTACTGTACTATTCACCTTATTCTCCGCGTACAAGCACTTCTATCTAGTCACTTTTAGGCAGTAAAAACAGCTTGTTATGCTGCTTGATGTTGCAAACTGATATTTTCTTATTATATTATTTTATTTTGTCTGTATAATCAATGTTTGTAGACCAAATAGTTTGACTGTTTTCAGCTGTTTATTATTTTCAATAATTTCTCCCATAGTTCTAAAACAATCGCAAAAACTAACGCACTTCTGCATTGAGGAATAAGGTCAATAGAACAATAAATATAAAATTGTAAATAAATAATCAAATAAATTATTCTAAAACAATAACAACCTAAATTTTGCTTTATGCTGACAAAATTATTTACTTTTTTTGCGTAATTATTATTCTATTTTCAAACAAACAATAACAAAAAAAATAAAAAATCCATAAAGCAAATCAATTCTTCAGCCCTAAAAATCCCACAATGAATCTTTAAGAACATTTTAATTTAACACATTAACACATTAACTATACAGTATCTTCACAAACTCTATACAACTTCTTGTTAAAAGGCTATTTGCCCACAGGTCTTTAAAAACCATTAAAGAACCAAAGTTTCTCTAAATAAGAAAAAAAAAAACATTATTGGACATTTTTCACTAATGGCATGAGTCTCTGTAACTGTTGCAGAATGGTCTAAATTAACAAATTGTTCACTGGTAAATTTGACGAAGTACAGACTGAACCTGCCAGAGGGAAGTAACCTATCAGTTTTAGAAGGCCTGATTCAAATGACGTTTCAGCTCAGCTAATAAGCCTCAACACCCATCTCTTGCTTCATCTGGCGCCGTCTGAATGTTTTTTATTTCCTTATGGAGACTTAATGAGAGCACACGTGATAGCGGTTGATAGCAGCTGTGAGGTTATGAGTGACCATACCTTGAACTCTCCAACAACGGAAGGATCTTCGCTGTCATTCTGGGTTCTTCCACGGTAAAGTTTAAACGTTTGACAGAAATCAGCAAATTGCTCAAAGCCTTCAGTCTTCTCCAGTTCTCTGTCATACACCTGAGAAAGGAAGCATGAGAGGGTTTTTTATGTGGACCTAAATATGGGCTCTAATCAACCGAAAAGGCTGAAAGGGCACATATTATATACAAGACATCCATTGTTTTTCATGCCAAAGCACTTTCCTTTTAGAATCTTGGACTCAGGGATCTTTAATTGTGGGTTTAACATTTCAGACTCAAGTCAAGCAACCTCAAATGCACCATTAAGGCAAAGAGATCTGGAAATTCCTTATTATGAGAATGTTTAAAAACACCAATAAAAATGCGCAAAAATGATTTGTTCCTGAGGAAAAATACACTTCTGTTTCATTACACAACTTTTAACTAGCAGCGCACAACTCTCCAACTAAACGGCCACCCAGGAGACAACTTAGTGACAAAAGTATGAAGGAATCCTCGTAAGCGAGTCGCTCTGTTTTTCTAGTTGACTCACTCAGGCCCGGTCCCTGAACGTGTGACACAACACACATCACATGAAACCCTCTCCCAGTCGCCTTTGCTCTTTCCCTGCCTTCAATCTCTCCCTCAGGCACCATTAGCCCAAAATAACAGCTCATCTCAGCAGTTTTAGGGAAAGTGTTTTTGTCTGCCGCTCCTCTCGGTGCGTGGGACACTCTCACACAGTGGCAGCCAACAATCGAAGTCGAGCCTCGCAGGTAGCCTTGAGACCAAAGTCCTTGCCAAATGACTAATGGACACGTTTAGATTGGAAAGGTTGGAAAGAGTGGCTAAGGCAACTAGCGAGAGAACATGGTGACAAGGGAGATCGTTCACAAACCAGCCAGAGATCGAGGGATGATAGGGAGGTGTGGGCTGGGGGAAAACGGGCCCATGACGTCAGTAACGGAGCCCTTGTCTGCAGTTGGTTATCCCCCTGCGGCAACCCCGACATGAATTCATCGGAAAAGTTGGGAATCTGGCAGCCACGGGCTCTATTATAAATGGATAAGCTTGTGGGAAGTGGGCTGGAGTGGACTGGAGTTGGGGTGAGTGAGCGTTTGAAAGTAGGCATGCATGATCCCGAGGGAGCCCACAGCGCTTTGAAGTTAGGCTGTGGAGCTGATGTTTCTGCGACCTTTGATTCTGACATCCTTGCGTTTGGTTTTGCTTGGGCACTGATAATGTCACTACAGTTATGATGAGACCTCTGCAGTTATTTGCCATGTACAGAGTTCATGCTGCTGGGATTATGTTAGACAAGCTGATGGAACAACATGGGGATATGTAAACAATGTCAATATTCATTTTGGGATGATTACTAGACAAAGGTCTTTGAGGTTCATTCATTTTAACACAAAGCTCTTTTTCTTTTAAGGGTTTAGGTTCCCTAAAAAGTTTAATTCTGCCATCATTTACTCATGTTCACGTCATCCCAAACCGAGATGTCTTACTTTATTCTGAGGACGACAAAAAAGAGAATTTTGAAAAATGAAGCACATGACTGGCTTATATGTATTGTAATCTATATTTATATAGCACATTTATTGTGTATAGCCACACACCCAAAGCACTTCACAATCATGAGGGGGGTCTCTCCACACCACAACAATCTGTGCGCAGCATCCACTTGGATGATACGACGGCAGCCACAGGACAACATCACCAGTGCGCTACCCATATACAAGCTATTGGTGGAGTAGAGAGACAGTGATAGAGCCAATTTAGTGGATGGGGATGATTGAAAGGACATGATGGTGATGAAGGGTCGATGGAGGGAATTTGACAAGGGTTACACGCCTACACTTTACGAGAAGTGCAATGGGATTTTTAATGACCACAGAGAGTCAGGGCCTTAGTGTAACGTCTCATTTGAAAGACTGCATTCACTGACAGTATGGTGTCACATTCACAATACCGGGGCATTAGGACTCACACAGACCACAGGTTGACTGTACCCTGCTGGCCTCACTAACACCACTTCCAACAGCAACCCAATTTTCCCATGCGGTCATCCATTCAGGTAGAGGTTTGCAAATTTCCGAATAAATCGCGGGGGCGGTCGGTAACGGGTTTAATTTGGGACGGGAGCGGGCTGTCTAGCAATATCGCGGATATTGCTATGCGAATGAGAGAGAGAGAGCTTTGCCTGTGTGTGTACTAGGTGCTTGTGTGTGTATGTTAGTGCGCGTGAGAGAGAGAGAGAGTGAGAGTGAGAGTGAGAGTGAGAGTGAGAGAGAGAGAGAGAGAGAGAGAGAGAGAGAGAGAGAGAGAGAGAGAGAGAGAGAGAGAGTTCCGGCTAGATTATCGCCTGCCGAGACCAACACCAATTCCAAGGACTCGTATCCAGGTACTGGCCTAGCCCAATCCTGCTTAGCTTCACTGGGGAACCAGAAGAAAGCCACAGAGTGAAAACTACTGACAAGGGTAAAAAAAAAATCCTTAACTGAAGGTTAAGCACAAAATACTTGGGTGGAAGATGTTTTGGGGTTTAATATAAAATTCTTCAAAAGTATGTTCAAACATGTTTGGAAAATCCTTATGCCTCATTTACACTAGTAGCAACTTTGTAGCTGCCTGTCGCTCTTGGCGGCGACCTGCTGCAAATGCAAGAGTGTGTAGGTCCACAGCACGGAAAATTAGCTCTACTGGTGCTCCTACTGGCTGTCGCTCAAAATAGTCACTCTTAATTTGCATAAAGTTGAAGGATTCTCAATTTTGTCACATGGCTAGACACGTTCACCTGGTCGTCAATAGTCGATGTTGTTCGCTTAGACCAGGGGTATCGACACTCGGTCCTGGAGGGCCAATGTCCTGGAGAGTTTAGCTCCAACCCCTATCAAACACACATGAAGCAGCTAATCAAGCTCTTACTAGATATAGTAGAAATTACCGGGCAGGTGTGTTGAACCAAGTTGGAGCTAAACTCATTAGGACACCGGCCCTCCAGGACTGAGTTTGGACACCCCTGGCTAAGACTAAGATTGCTGAAGGTAGCTCACTCTATATTGTGCTGAACGTTTGCTTGTCGCTTTGCCGCTGCGAGTTGCTGGTAGTATGAATGAGGCTTTAGAGACAAAGTTACTTCAAAGCCTTACCTGCAGCATATCGAACCCTTTCTCCAGATAACTCCCACACTTGGTCCTCTCACCCATGGAGGCATAAAACTTGCTCCACCAGTCCATAAATTCATCCTGCTGCAGACACAGAACAAGAAAACAAGAGAACGGAAAACATTAAAAACAGGGAAGGTCCATGCATAACTGACACCACATCTCTCATTCAACAGAGCTTTACTTAATTAAATCAGTCATTTCATCAATAAGGAATGTCAATTCTGAAAGCAACGAAAGCCTCAACTTACCCACCGGCCCATCTAAAAGTATGTCCGACAAATTCAACACACACAATAAGACAAAGTTAGAAAAAGTGAGGAAGAGAGAAGTCAAGAGAAAATACCCTAAAGCGTCAAAACATTTTAAGCAGACACATGCATGAATGACAGTGACACCATCCACAGACCAAACGACCAGCGAGAACAAGCTTTTCCATAACTTAATCCTTTCCATAAATAACTGATAAATCATCCCTCCGCTGTAATGCTGGTAATTGTAAGCATATCAACTAAAGCTAGCAAGAAGGCTTTCATATTGTCATTTTCCTGGTACTTTCACGGGTATGATTCAGGAGCGCTGATGTTCCCCTGCAATTTGATGTGCTAATCGCCACTGATACTGCACGTCCTGCCAACACTCACTCATACTGTGTGGAAAGTGTGGGAAGTTTTCAAAAAGGTACGAATCAGGCAGTTCCCATCCAACCAAAAGACAAAAGAGTGTTGTTAATGTGAAACAACGCCCTTCACAAGTGACACTGCAAGAAACACAAGTGCAGTCTGAGTATGATGAGACTCCAGTGTTTGACAAATGGAGAAAGACAGACTGTCCCACTATGGCATCAAAACAGTGTGTTTAAAAGAAAGAAGAGATCTCTTTGCTGTCTGCACCCACACACACGTCTCTCTTCCAGAAGGCCAGATTTGACTCACCATGAGGAGAGACTTCACGTTTTGTTTCCATCTTTTTTTTTAGGTTTTACGATGAGGGAGGATAAACAGCAGTGGTGGAGTGATGCCGAATCTGTTGGGTTTGTTCCTGATCTTAGTGGTCGGGGAGTGTGGCACAGTGGTGTGTGTTTTGGTGACCAAGCAGGGAGGCTGTCAATGTTGTTAAGTACCCCACATGCCACTGCTGTGCCAAGGAATGTGTGTGTACTCGTGTCAGAGTGTGTCATATACCACTGCCGTACAAGATGATGTATATGTTTATGACTGTGTGTGGGTGAAAACGTTTAGTCACAGATGCGCACAATGTGTAAATGAAAACATACAATAATTCATTTGGTCTAAAATTGATATTGGACCCATGGCCTAGCAGTTAGTGCACTTGTTCTGACACATTGAAATGTTGTGAGTTAAGTGTGGCTGACATGAGTTTGACTCTAATTTGCTTTGGAAAATTGGGAAAAGGCAAAAAAAAAAAAGTTACTTTTTTATTTTCTGTTTTCAAAAGCTGAATGAAGTCATTCACAAGTAAGCACTGGTAAAATAAATAGCAATAAATAACACTGCTGTTCAAACATTTTGAGTCAGTATATTGTTTTGACAGAGTTTCTAGTCTAGAAAGCATTTATTTGATCAAAAATACATAAACACTTTTGCAAGCTTATTTGAATGATTTTTTGTTTTATTAAAAATGGCATGTTTTTCATCATTTTATTGCTACTGATTTCTTTTTATAAACTGAAGGCTTAAAAGAAAACAACTAGGGATGCCCCGATCAGCTTTTTTTGCCCTCGAATCAGAGTCATTTGATTTTGAGTATCTACCGATATCGAAACCCGATCCGATACTTCTATAATACATAAAAAATGAATAAATAAAGCAAAAATAACAGATCCAGGATGATCCCTATTTTTAATTCACCTTACCTTACCTTCACTTACTTCTGTGAGTAACAGCCAAATAATAAATAACATAAATTCTTCACTTTTGGACCAAAGTGCAACAGTAAATAAAAAAAATTAAAAATCTGATATAAAAACTAATAGCACCTTAGCTTAAAAAACCCGGCAGGCATTTACATGCTTGCATATCTCACAGTTTGTTATGGCAATGTTGTCGTCATCAACTTTATAATACCTCCAGACCGCAGACATACTTGCACTTTCTGCTTCAAGCTGCTTCCATGTTGTACTTTGCATTTAAACAATAGCCTCTTTGCAACAAAGTGATGTCATGACGCACACATTGCTTTTTCTGTGTGAAGTCAAGAAAGAGGTCAAACTCTGTACCACTGCATAACTATAGATGTTAAAAAAATAATGAGAAAATATATATATATTTTTTAATAATGAGAACATATATATTATATATATATAATATACATATTCGAGTCCTGATCGGGAGGTAACGTCCAATTCTGATCCAGACATATCTGCACATGATCGGATATGAAACCTTTAGCGATACTTCTGCCAGGAAGACTGGTATGTCACATTATTGATAATAACTATCCTGTCAGCCTATAACGATCAAATGCACTACATATAAGCCCATCTAAACAATCTGTTTTGATGTACTCTGGTGATGTTGCGGAATTTTCCCTCCATCCTCCCCACCACAACCAGGCCAGCCTCGGGGCTGGGCTTCTCCCCACCCTTATCTTCAGGCAGGATCTGCTAGCTCATCCTGAGTTCTGCACCATAGACGAGGCTTACACAAAAGTATCTACATTTATCCAAAAAATTCACAATAAATGTTAAAACATGTATTTGTCTTTTTGGTAGAATTGGACATTCCTAACAACAACCATTCAAAACTGCACCCAAACTATTTGTTTACTTTACAAGTAGTAGTACAGGGCATTCATATTTCCAAAGAGATAGTAATATGTGTAATAAATGTTCCACAACAGTTAATATCATTTATAAAAGATAGTCAAAACAACCCCTAGATGTTAAGAGTTATAAATATTAGTTTTTTTTTTATAGACTGGAAGCAAAGTTGGAGAGAAAACGGGGGATGGGATTGGGAAAGGTCCATGAGCCGGGATTTGAATTTGGAATGACTGAAGCGCATCAACACTACAGTATATGTTGGTGCATTACCCACTAGGACACAGGTGTCAAACTCAGTTCCAAAAGGGCCGCAGCTCTGCACAGTTTAGTTCCAACCCTAATTAAACACACCTGATCAAACTAATTGAGTCCTTCAGACTTGTTTGAAACCTACAGGTAAGTGTGTTGGAGCAGGGTTGGAACTAAACTGTGCAGGGCTTCGGCCCTCCAGGAATTGAGTTTGACACCCCTGCACTAGGATATCGACAATGACCAGGTGAAAGATTCATTCATTCATTTTCCTTGGCATAGTCCTTTTATTCATCAGGGGTAGCCACAGCGGAATGAATTACCAACATATACAGGATATGTCTTACGCAGCGGATGCCCTTCCAGCTGCAACCCAGTACTACGAAACACCCATACACACTCATTCACACACATACACTACAGCCAATTTAGCTAATTCAATTCACCTATACCGAAATTTTTTGGCCTGTGTGGGAAACCGGAGCACCTAAAGAAAACCCACAACAACATGAGGAGAGCATCCAAACTCCACACAGAAATGACAACTGGCCCAGCCGGGACTCGAAGCAGCAACCTTGTTGCTTTGAGGCGACATTGCTAACCACTGAGCCACCGTGCTGCCCATCAGGTTAAAGATTATGATTGCAAAGTCAATCTAGCCCAATAAAAAAAGCCAACAAAAGTTATCAACTCATCAAACAGCTCTGCTAATCAACAGAAAGAAGGAGATGATCAGAAAAGAGCAGAAATGTACAATAAAAGTACATTTTGGCAGGACAGTGCCCTTAGTCTAAGCATCTACACCGAGGCGGCACACAGAGTAAATGAGCCTGGGTGTGCAGTAAGGATATGCAGTGTATTGTAAAGCTGCCTTCAGAATCACTTAAGCTGAGTTGGCCTGGCTGTGCAGCAGACTAACCGGTCCTGAATGGTGCTTTTCATAGTGCTGCCACATGTCTCCTCTCTTTGTCTGACAGAGCTATTAAAGCGGAGCCTAAGGACGCCGTGACAGCCATGTTTCCATCTGAGTTACTATGTGTGTGCGCTTTAGGTGTTTGTGCACAAGTTTGTGCTAATGTGACTAAAGAAATAATGTTCCATTTTGCCTGTGAAAGGATGTGTAATGAGTGTGTGTGTGCATGTGCGTCTGGTCACCCAGACACTTCCAGTGCACCAGATGTATGTGTTATTTTATACTCTGCCGAAAGATTTTAGGGCTTAGGGGTATTATTAAAATAAGTACTGCATCACAGAAAACTGCACCACATGAACCTAGATGTATATGTCCTTGCAAACTTACAAAAAAGGAAACACAGCATCAAAAGTGATGTTATACAGATAAGAAGATAATGTTTAGGGTATGATACAATTTCAGACACAAAATGTCTAAAAATGAGAGAATTTACAGTATAATGGCTGTTTTGCGCCTGGGCGGCCTGGTGCTGGAACAGGGTGGTCGGAACGGCAGAGGGAAAACAGGGACCTTCACTAGTTCTCCAAAAATTCATTCATGCAAAACCTGTTAAAACGGCTGCAAACATTCTCAATTCCTGAGGTAAAGGTTACAGTAGGGCACTGCTAGTGTTAGCTTTGGGTCTGAAAAAGACTCGTGTGCGCTAGTCACGAAAAATAACCAAATGAAGTTGGGAATAACTGAGCTCTGAATAGACTTTTAACATAAAGCATGTTTTGAGTATACCGTACAGACATTCCATGTGGTTTGATTGACGGTTCTTTCAGAAATGTAAACAATATCCAAAATGGCCTGAGGAATTTGTGACATGGAGTTGGTGAAAAACCTGTAGGTAAAGTTTCTTCCAAGACTTACAATTCATTCCTTTATTTTTTCATGAATGCTGTGATGGAGAGCAGTAGACTGTTAAGAGTATCCATAAAGAACATATATCATGTGCATATATAGTATGTGTATTTTTTCTGAAATATTATTGCTTGGTATTGCACCACATAGTAGACTAGTAAAACTTGACTAGTCTGGTTTGCTACATTTACACATTAGCCTCTGTCACATAGTAATACTAGTAAATATCTA